GGGGCATGGAGAGCACGGCACGGGCTGTCCGGGAGAGGGGCATGGAGAGCACGGCACGGGCTGTCCGGGAAGCGGGAGCGGGGCATGGAGAGCACGCCACGGGCTGTCCGGGAAGCGGGAGAGGGGCATGGAGAGCACGGCACGGACTGTCCGGGAAGCGGGAGCGGGGCATGGATCGGCCCGGGAGCGGCACGGGCCGGGGGCACAGCGCCATCTGGCGGCGGGAGCCCGCGGAACGCCGGTGCCCCTCAGCGTCGTCCCGCCAAAATCCACCGGGAACACGGCCAGGGGAGCGGGAAGGACCGGGAGCGCAAACCCTGATAGGTCGTGAGGCTCTGTGCTCTTTATCGAAAAAGAAACCTGAATGAGTAACCAAGCCAGTTTCTCTACGGAGGCCTTGGTATTAGCGTACAGAAAATAAAACATCCATCTTTTCCCTGAGGGTCAGACCAACACTACAATTTCATTCCACATGATGCTCTCTCCTTACCAGAGGGGCGCACCATCCAAGCAACCAGGAATTACACTCACAAAACATGTGACTCTACCCTTTCAAGAGCTAGGAAATGCCAAAATGAAGCTTTACTCCTGCAGCCCTCATTGAAGTCCCTCCTGTGTGCCCAGTGCTGTATGATCAGGACAAAACTTGTTGAACCTATGCACTAAACGATTGCTATGTCCACACTCTGCAAAGAATACAGGGGAAACCATTACGTGGTCAAAGCTGCACCAATCAGTTCTGCACTTATGCACTTTCCATAGAAGGAAAATACTGCTGCTAAATGCCAACCTTGCATTGCCTCAACATATGACCATCTGTCCATAATCCAAATCTGTCCAAAAATGTATATGTAGGTAGCAACTGAAAATTGTAATGATATATAAACAGATCGTATGAAAGCACTTTATCCAGGGAATTAGCAAATTTTTTAATAAGTATCACAAACTCAACTAAAATTAAGAGCTACAGAAACTCTCAAATACACTAAATAAAGAAAAAGAAATTACTGAATTTTGACAGATACACTATAATTATAATTCTTACATTATTATTGTCTTGCCTGTTATAAAAGCTTTAGTTTCCATGACTCTGACCAGGGTTAGGAGATAACTATCCATATGTAGGAGCATACAGGACTTAAAGGCCTTCAGACACRAGACTGGGAAGGATCTCCTACAAAAGTAGCTTAATTTCTAAAAATATGTATTTAAATCTCTTAAAAATAAAATTTCTTTTGCACTGATAGCAGAGACCTGTGCACTTCACAAAAGCAGCAGCAATTGCTTSGATGTTGGAAATCCACCTAGTGTGAGACATCTGTTTAAGCCTCCTCTCTCTCTTTGAAGATCTCAAAATAACACTTGCAAAGGTTCAGAGTGCATTTCAGAAGGGTTTTGGAGGAGATGGCTCCCATTTGGCAAGAAGGAAAAAGTGTTTCTGCATGCAACCACCCTCAAAATTAGCAATTTTAAAGTAATTCAGAAAGTAGGAGCAGTTAAAGGAAGAAAATGGACTAGAGCCAACTGAAGCAATTACAACACACAATACAATGTAAAGTCCTAAAGAAACCTCATCTGCTCACCAGCTCTTATACAAGCATCCCAGAAAGATTGGTATTCAAGACTCAGATATAAGCACAAACATACAGATATAAGCACACAGAATGGTTTGCACAGCCCCCTTGTCAGGCTGTCCACAGGGCAGTTTGTGGCTCACCAAACGCACCRCGCTGCRTGCACAGAGCACCAGAGGACTCTGRTCACACGGCTCTTCCCTGCTGCTCTTCCCTGAGCAGTAGCCAAGGAAATCAAGAGGCCCCTTCCATACGCTGCTGGTTACCTTACTGAAAATATTTACTTTTGATTAGCTGCTTCATTTCTAAATCTCTAGTTCCACAAA